TCCTGGTGATGGGCCCAAAGTCACCCAGTCGGCTTTCATCCCAAGGCAGAACTAGAACTCACTGTCTCCTGGTGATGGGCCCAAAGTCACCCAGTTGGCTTTCATCCCAAGGCAGAACTAGAACTCACTGTCTTCTAGTGATTGGTCCAAAATCACTCAGCTGGCTATCATACTTTAGGTGGGTCTAGAACTCGCCGTCTCCTGGTGATTGGCCCAGAGTCACCCAGCCAGCTATCATGCCTAAAGCGGAACTAGAACTCAACGTCTCCTCGTTCTAACCAGGCGCCTTCCCCGCTGGACCAGACCGGCTTCCCTTTTAACGTCATCAAAACGTCAGCCGTTTCTGCTGCTTCTCCTGCCTCTCCTCCTCCTTCTGCTTATCCACTTCGGCCCTCAGCTTCCCCGTCAGCGAAATGGGAATAATAACAATAATAGCCCCCTCTCTCAGAATCTTCCCCACCACCACCACCAGCGATGACTCTTTCCTTTTTTTCCCTTTTGGTAAAAAGGGCCGCAATGTTAAAAGCGTTCTCTGTGCATTGTAAATTTGTAGTAAATATTGCCCGTAGCCAGAGGAAAGTTGTGTGCGTGTGTGTGTGTGTTTCCATTTCCACACCTCCCTCTCTGCCCGCTAGTTTTGTATCTCATTTTCGCATTATCATCAAGTTTCCCTCCCCTGCCTGGGACGCCCGTTTTCGGGGGCTATTTTGACAGCTTCTTTCAGCTGCCTGCCATCACCTCCTTATTGGTAGCGGGCACCTCTGGCATCGTGCTGAATGCAATTAGAATCTGATTAACAGCAGAGGAGCGCGAGCAAAAGGGGGTCTTTCTCTCTCTCTCTCTCACTCTCTCTCTCTCTCCACCCACCCCCTCCACAAAGAACCCCCCCCCCTTGAGTAAAAATATTCTCTTTCCACTAAACTGTTTTGCTGGCCGGCGGGATTGTTTGCATTCCGCGGAGTCTCGGGGCCAACGGAGGAGCAAAACGCTTTGCTTGCCAATAATAAGCTTCCTTTAAAAAGAAACGCAAAAAGAAAAGGGTTGGATAGAGAGGGAAATATACGGCCCCGCGGCTTTTTCCTCAGGCTTTCCTCTAAAGCTGTATCTTTGCAACTGTGGTTGTTGGACAGTGAGGAGGGTTGGGGAGGAACCTGGGCCAGTCCTTTAGGGAAGGCTCTGATGAGGGATCTGTGTCGGAGGCAGAGAGGGGGCCAGGGCCGTCTTGACAGTTATCAGCTGCCTTCAGAGTCAGACATCAGTGAGGCAGAGGAACAGCTGGAGCCTGTTCCCGGTGTGCGCATGCGCAGAATTGCCAGACAAAAGGAACGGCTAAAGAACAGGGGTCGACTTGGGAGTAAGGCCAACAGGTGGACGGTGAATGGCCCCTCCCAGAGGGAATAAAAGAGGAGCGAAAGGGGAGTGGAGTTTGCAGGAGACCATTCGTTCGCTTCATTGGTTCGTGACTCTCCCAGACTCCTTGCCAAATTCTGCAGATATCGGCCTGGCAGCTCTCCAAGCCAGAGAAGGTCTGTGACTGTAAATCCTCCCTCGAAAGACTTGGCTGGGTGTGAATGAGCCACAGGTGGACGGTGAATGGCCCCTCCCAGAGGGAATAAAAGAGGAGCGAAAGGGGAGTGGAGTTTGCAGAAGACCATTCGTTCGTTTTGAGAGTGGAAAGTTGGCCCATGCTCTAAATTTTTTTTTGTAGCATATTTTAACTTTTAAAAACAAAAGTGTTGTCCTGGTTTCCCCTCCCTTTGTATCTCCTCTTATTCTTTTATCTCATGTTTCCCTTTCACATTTCAGTCACCTTGTTTTCATTCCATAGTCTCCTGCTTAATTTTAATGTCTTCTTAATATATAAATATCATTATTTGCCTCTCCAAACTAATCAAGTTTAACGTATCCTTTCTATCTATCTATTCTGTCTTGCTGTCAACATATATCCCCAGATTTAATTTCAATTAGTAAACTTTTCATTTCGTTAGTTATCCACAAGTAATCACTTTAATCTATTTCCCTCACATTGTATTGAATATATACCATTGGCTATATTTATACTAGGTTTCCTACTATTCTACTAGTAAATCCGTTTCTTTCCTCCTTTCAATCATTTTCTCTTAATCTCTCAGGAACTTCATTTCTCTTATATTCTCTCCATCCATTCGCTTTTTGTTGATCTTGAAATGCCTATATTTTCCCTTCCCAATCTTTTTTCTCCTTTTTTAATTCGGTTGTTTTAGTACCTCTCCCCAATTCCTCCCCCCCCCCAATTAAACCCACCTTCCCTTTTGCGACCTTATAACCATCAAAAGTCAGCCGGGAAATCAGGTTCACTTAACGACCGTCTGACTCACTGAACCAACCGCCAGGAATTGGCTTAAGAATCCTGGTCTTCGACTGTAACAAACTTGATTTGATTTTAAGAAACTCGGTTCGACTTTGACTTAAGCGTCGGGGACCGAAAGGTCATAAAGCGGGGCAAAACTCCGTTTTTAGCAGATTTTTATTATTACTTTTTCCCTTCTACAGCATCTTACAGTTATTACATCAACATTGTTATGTCATCATACCTTGAAGAGCGTTCGGAGACTTCAGTTTGTCCAGAATGCAGCCACGCGAGCGATTGTGGGTGC